TTCTTTGTTGCATTTTTGTACTTTCTTTTTGCAAGAGGCTCGGAATTATGTTTCAAGTTTAGTCGAGGTGATCTTATTAGAATGAAAAGTTTAGAGGCAAGAATCGATATCATAAACTGCCTTTGAAACTTTCTCGGGGACAAGCGGCACCGAAGTTGTTTGTTTATCATTCAATTTATGCTTGATGGGGACGTGACTTCCGCTCGACAGGTTCGTTGCGCGGACCAAACTGCTTACCTGCAGATCCGTGGGGGAGAGGACAAATAGGAAGAAGTTGCAGCAAACAAAACAAAGCATCTCTTCCACTGCGGTCGCTCTCCATTATCCCCCCAACCGATAGTGGCTAAGAAATGAACTTGAAGCGGTTCTTGAGTAGAAGGTTTCCACGTGTTGTATACTATATTGTGACGTGTGTCTGCCTAAACTTGTTGATATTTGGGAGTGACCCACCTAGGTCGGTCCTCACGCACTATTCTATAAATAAAATGTGATCCAAATTTTTTCCATAACAATTTAATAAATATTAATCAATAAAAATAATTATAACATTATTTAAAAGAATTCAACTAGTAAATAAATTGACAAATAATCAATTAATTTGAATCACCTGAATAAGTCATGTGAATTTAATTGAGACGAAGAGGGGAAACAAATAATAGAAAAGTAAATATTAGATAGGAGAAATTTGTAAATTTTTATTCACAAACTATTTATAAATGATTTATTTCTTTTTTCTTTTTACGGTTGTTGGCTTATGCGTTATTGTAGTTAACGTTAATAATAAGAGGCATAAGCAATCTCACCTATGTTATTCTCTATAAAAAAAACAGAGGACACAGAATGTGCTTTCCTGTATGGTTTGGGAAAAAGTTTAATAAGAAAGCAATTTTTCCTTCTCGTGTGGTCAATTTGTCCTATTCAACTGATAATCAAAATCCAATACATTAATTTCTATATTTTAAATTTATAATCAAAACTCAATACTCTATAAAAGTAACTAATATTATACCTAATGGAGGTCCTGGAGGCCCCCACAACTTGGAGGCTCTGTGCTGGAGGCCTCCTGCACACCCATAAGTCGGGTCCTGGATGCACCCTTATCTTGTGAGTTGGCATCGGTGGGAGTAGGGATGTCAATTAAATCCAAACTCACGGATACCCAATCTGATCCAGCCCAATCAAAATTTGGTAAAACCTAGTGTAAATGGGTCTCGGGTCGGGTTTGAGTTTTGCATACTTTGAAATTTGTGAGTTGGTTTGGATTTTGTCAAAATCCAATCCATTTCCCACTCGACCCACATTCATAAAGTAAATTTATGTCATTTTATATCTATCGAAACAATATGAATAATTTATTGATATTATTAGCTTTATAATAATATAAATCTTGTAATATGGATAAATTACAATGTTATTAGTCTTTGTGGAGACATATTTATAGGAAAATTTTGGATAACATTACCATGTGGATGTTCGAAAAAATAATGTATGGTTATGTCCGTGAACTAGTGGTTACCTGATGCAAGCATAATTACACATGTTTTATCACTCATTTCTTGATCATTTGACTTGGTAAATCATCATCCATCAACCTATTTTACGCTAGGTTGTGCTTCTTTTGTTATATTTCAGGTCCTAGTTAGTGTGGAAAGGTCGAGGACAAGTTAAGGGACGAATGGAGGTCGAAAAGCGCCAATGGATCCCATTGATAATAACACTCAAGCAAGGTCAATGATGTTGCCAATTAAGAATATAGGATGTCTAATACCCATGGCGAGGATAATCACCATGGTTGTCATGTCGGCCGGCATGTCAGGCTCAATCGGTTCCGGCCATGAAACCGGCATGACACCACTGGTATGACCGGCATGATTGATTTGTGAATTTTATGTAAAATAATGTCGTTTTAGTGAATATAAATACAAGTACATGTAATTCTATTGAAAATATCACATTTTATTTAAATATCAATATAAATTGTACGTAAATTGTCTTCAAATATGGTTTATGTGATTAAATTCATGTGACACTATTGGTTTTTGACATTTCTACATATTTTATTAACTGGCATGAATCGGCACAAACTGGTTGTACCACCTGTAGAACAATTCCACTTGCTAAACCGGCACAACGGTATAAACCGATTTGACAACCTTGATAATCACTCTAGTTATCTTGTCTTGCTTTAGAATTTCATGAGTATGTTTCTTTGTTTCATTTTTGTAAATTTTTTTAGCTATGGGATTATATTTTTGCAAGTTTTACGTATGAAAATCGATACCGTCAACTAGGACCGGAAAACCAGTAGACAATAATACAAACTGCCTTCGAAACTTTCTCCAGTATGAGCGGGCACCAAAAGTGTTTGTTTATCATTCAATTTATGCCTGTTGAGTTTTGATTAAAGTGTGAAAACTGAAAAAGTATGGCAATATTGATGAGGAGAGTCGCGATTTGCTGAGCGATTGTGAATTTGTGATCGAGGAGAGTCGCGATTTGACGAGCGAGATCTGAACTTGCTAATGTCCAGTTGTCAGTTTTCTTTTTTCAGAATGGTTCCCTAAGCCCAACGTGGTCAGTGGGGAGGGAGAATGGGCCCTAAGCCCAGTATACGAAGGAAAATACAGAAAAAGAAAATGATGCAACAAATAGATAGCATGAGCAAAAAACTAAAAAAGTTTTGAGAGCTCAACTTCGGGAATGCGGATCCATGACTAAGGGATTTGTCCAGTCTTTAGATCTAGAGATAGGAATCTGACGATTAAATAGTGAGAAGGGATATTTAATTAATAATATGGGTAGTTTGGGTATTATGGAAAATTACGAAGTATATAAACCGTAATTACTATCAGTACAGACCATACAAACATACAACAGTACAAACTACAATGACAAAACATACAAACAGTACAAACAATACAAACTATACCGACAAACAATACAAACCATACAAAAAAGAAAAAAAACAACTTGTTTGACTTTGGAGGCTCCATCCCTATATAGAGAGCTTCGTCTCAAAGTCAAACCGATTGTTTTTTAGACATAGAAACATTACGAACCTGGTGAACAAAAATGACAAACTAGACTGACAATCCATACAAACTGGAAAAAAACACATGGGTTGACTTTGGATGCTCCATCCCTATATAGAGGAGTTTCATCCAAAAGTCAATCAGATTATTTTTTAGACATAAAAAACATTACAAAATAACAAAGCGTACAAACATTACAAAATAAACCGACAACACTACAAAACATACTAACCGCACAAAATGTCACTAAAAATGACAAACAAGAATGCTAAACAATACAAACCCAGCACTGTCGCCGGAAAGCCTCCTCCGCCATGGTCCATGGGACGCAGGCGAGGGGACAGGCTAGACGGCCCCCCGAAAATTTTGGTCGGCACTGCTGTGAATTTTTTAATTATTAATTTCTAAAAATAAAATAATCATGAATCATGTAATTACTACACTACCCTTCATTAAATTGAATTAATTAGAACCATTGGATTTTAATGAACTTGGAGGGCTGGGATTGACTTAGACAAGTGACTAACGAACCAGAATGGGTTAGGGTGATTACTTGATTTTTAGTAATCACGGTGGCAAGTGGCAACCTCTTTATATACCATTTGATTAATTATTTTCCCTTCTATTTTAATCTTAAATTCAAGATTTTTTTAGGGTAATTTTGGAAATGAAAAATTCACCACACCAAATTATTCTATATAATCTACCCAAACCCTAGTTCTATCCTTCCTCCAGCCAAACCCGCCGCAGCCGCCTCCACCACTCCCGTCGCACTAATCCCGCCGACCGCAGCCTCGACGATGACTCCGTGTTGGCCACCCTCGACCACCGCGGACTCTCTCTCTCTCTCTCTCTCTCTCTCTCTCTCTCTCTCTCTCTCTCTCTCTCTCTCTCTCTCTCTCTCTCTCTCTCTCTCTCTCTCTCTCTCTCTCTCTCCCACCGGCCCTCCCTCCTCCTCCTCCTCCTCCCCACAACCGTCGACTCTCCTCTCTCTCTCTACCCAACCACCCTCCCCCTTCCTTGCCCACCAGCTACACACCGGCCACTCCCCTCCTTCCTTCCCTGTCCACCTCTCTCTCTCTCTCTCTCTCTCTCTCTCTCTCTCTCTCTCTCTCTCTCTCTCTCTCTCTCCCTCCCATCACAACATACATAGATAGATATGGTTTTGGCGAGTACAGTAGCAGCCATTTTGGAACCATGTCTCAGTCGCCCTAAGATACAAATACAACCATAGTAGATATAAAAACCTAGATCTGGTAATTTTTTGTTTTGGTATCAGCTCATTGTTTTGTTTTATGAAATGGTATAGTTTGTTTTTCATAATGGTATTGATTTATTTTTGCAATGGTATTGTTTTGATTTCACAATAATAGTGATATTGATTGATTTTGGTATTGGTCGACTCTTGTAATGGTATGGTATAGATTGTTTGTATTGGTAGTTTTAGTTTAATGGTATTACTTTATTTGTGCAATGGTATTGTTTTGATTTCACAATAATAGTGATATTGGTTGTTTTGGTATTTGTTTGACTTTACATTGGTAGTTTTCGTGTAATGGTATAAATTTATTTATGCAATGGTATTGATGTTTTTCAAAGTGGTAGTGAATAGTGATTGTCTAATGGATTGGTATTGATTTCGTGTTTTTTCTTTTGCAGAAATATCGAGAAAAATATGGAAAGGAGATCTGGCGGGAGATTACGGAAGTGAGAGAAAGAGAAAGAATTATAATTAATAGATTTTTGTAACTACCTAAAATCTAATTTGTACTAATCATCGTAACCGCTCCGGAAGCCCCTAATCACCTGATCTTATCCCAACTTCGGACTTCAGTTGTTGTCGTGGCTCAACTTCCTCTCCAATCTCCATGGATGGATTAGAGACGTCACCGGAGAATACAATTGCCGGGGAAGATCAATTGAAGGCACTGGAGTCAGGAGTCGACGACAGGGTCAGCTCCCTACCGGATGAAATTCTTTCCCACATCCTCTCTTTCCTGCCAACCAAGTACGTCGTGTCCACCGCCGTCCTAAGCTGGCGGTGGACGAATCTATGGGCTAGGGTTTCCAATCTCGATTTCGACAACAAGCTGATCTACGGCGGAAGAGATTTACCAACGCGGCTAGCGAATCGTGCGAGGAGAGATTTTGAATTCTCTCGCTTCGTAGACACGGTTCCGAGCCAGCACAGCAATCTCAATTCTGTGAGGCGTTTCCGCTTACATTTCGAAATAATGCCGCGTAACTGGAGTCCAAGGCCAGATTTTGTGCAGGAGAGGGAATCAGTGTTTGGGTCTCACCGTGGTTACTAAGGGTAAACTGGGTATGACAAAAATTATTAATTATTTTTTTTAACAAAGTACATTTTAGGAAGTTACACAAATATATTAATTACAATTCTCTCTCTTTCTCTCACTTTCACAATCTCCAGTCAAATCTCTCTTCCTTTTTTTCAATCTTTTCCTTGTTTTCGTTCAGCTGAACTAATACTGCTGCAACAATAAAACAATACAAATCCATTAAAAGAACACTACCAATGCATAAAACACCAATACCATTTGAGAAATAAAAACACTATCATTTCACAAAACACCAATTCCTTTGCAGATTTATCAATATCAATACATGCAAATCATACCAATTACATGATAATCAATATCAATGCGTAAAAAACAATATAAATGCGAAAAAAACACTACCATTATGAAAAAATCACTATCAATGCGGAAAAAACAATACCAATGCGAAAAAACACTACCACTACGAAAATATCACTACCAATGCGGAAAAAATACTACCACTACGAAAAAATCACTACCAATGCGGGGGAAAAATCAGATCTAGGGTTTTTACTTTTTATTCATCCCACCTTTTCCAGCCACATCCATATCCCAGAGAGAGAGAGAGAGAGAGAGAGAGAGAGAGAGAGAGAGAGAGAGAGAGAGAGAGAGAGAGAGAGAGAGGTGGACAGGGAAGGAAGGAGGGGAGTGGCCGGTGTGTAGCTGGTGGGCAAGGAAGGGGGAGGGTGGTTGGGTAGAGAGAGAGAGGAGAGTCGACGGTTGTGGGGAGGAGGAGGAGGAGGAGGGAGGGCCGGTGGGGGGAGCGGAGGGGAGTGGAGGAGGTGGGTGGAGGAGAAAGAGAGGGGGGGCGGGTAGTCGGCTGTTGGCTGCCGTCGTCTAGGGTTTAGCTAGAGGGGATGGTAGATTAGGGTTTGGGTAGAATATATAGAATAATCAGGTGTGGACTCTTTTTGTTTCCAAAATTGTCCTGAAACAAAATTAATCGTGAGATTAAAAAAAAGAGGAAAACAAGAATTAACCGTGGACTCTTTCTAGTTATAGTTACTAGCAGTTAAAAAAAAACACTGGTTTGCATTAACTACGATCCTAGTTGTGTATAGTCTCCTAAAAGAAAAATTATTGTCATCTAGAAACAGTGTTATTCATTAGGCTACCATCTGGAAGCTGCTGTCAGTTTCTCCCAAAAGTCCATCGTACACACGCATGGCTGCCAACTCAAAGGCAGGCAGCCGCCATGGATGCGAATGAGGTGCTCCCTCCTGCTAGCTAGCCTGATATTAACTGACAACGTGTTCAAATAAGATTAGGGTTGGTAAAGTTAGTTCATCTTACTGAATCCGATTCCCATTTATCTAGCCATGTTTAATAAGACGGCTCTCTCAGTCTGTCTTTTATCATCATCAGTGTGTCCATAAACCTCAACAATGGACCAGGAAGAGACAGAAGCCCGATACAACATCAAGGCTAAGAAGCTTTCCTGCAGACTCTCCCGCACAGTAGTACATGGTGGTGGCAGCTGGCTTCGATGGTGGAAGCAAATCAAGCCAATTGATGCTGCTGCTGATGAATACATACTGAGGAATGTCGAATTTGAAGCCAGAGCAGGGGAAATCACGGCCATTGCTGGTTCAAGTGGTGCTGGTAAGACCACATTGCTTCAGATACTCGGCGGCAGCCTGGTTACAGGTTGTCGCCAGGCTTCTTCACGAGTCTCCGGTGAAGTACTCGTGAACGAGAAGCCGATGAATGCATTGTGGTTCCGGAGAATATCTGGATATGTGACCCAGGACGAGGCACTTTTCCCACTTCTCACAGTAGAAGAGATGGTATTGTATGCAGCTAGGCTCAGGTTAGGTGGAGGGGTCCAACCGGCTCGAGCCAGAGCTGAGATTCTACTGAAGGAGCTTGCTCTCGAACATGTTGCCAGTGTCAGGATTGGAGACGAATCTCGCAGGGGAATTTCAGGTGGCGAGAAGCGAAGGGTGTCCATAGCTGTGGAACTAGTTCACAACCCTGCTGTTCTTCTCATCGACGAACCAACCTCCGGTTTGGATTCCGGATCGGCTCTCAATGTGGTTCAGCTGCTTCAATCCATGGCTGCAGAACATGGCAAGACGGTTGTGCTGACCATCCATCAGCCTGGGTTTCGAGTCCTCAAGCTGCTTGATCGCGTCCTGCTGCTGTCGAATGGAGCTGCTCTGTATGAAGGAACGCTTGCATCGCTCGAGGAGCGACTTATATCAGCTGGTAGTTGCATTCCTAGACATGTCAATGTGCTGGAGTTCGCAATTGATGTGCTGAAGAACTTGAGAAGAGATGGTGAAAGGAGTGAAGATCATCACAGTAGTGATGCTGACGAATTACGTTATGACGTGCATATCAAGCAAACTAGAGCATCCTACTCCAACGGTCGATTCACAGAGGAGGTGTGGATACTTGGATAGAGATTCTTCAGCATAATCTGCAGAACAAATCAGCTCTTCACCTCCAGAATGGTACAAGCGCTAGCTGCTGGACTAGTGCTGGGTACCTTATATTGGTCGACTCTTGCATTGCCTGATTGAGTTACTCACCTGAACTCTTGCCCTTCAAGTGGCGAAGGAGAATACGAAGAGCTCGCGTCACTGGACTCCCTGCCAAGAAGACTGCCAAAACGCTAGAGCGCTTGTGATGCCCGCCTTTAGAGATTCCCAAATGCTTCGACAGAGATGACCAAGTGGAAGTCAATGACAAAAAGATGGACCCTAGCTATCAAAATCACGCTGACCTGATTTAATGTATTTGAGCAATCTTGAACAATATGTCTCAGCACGTTGATTGCGCTATTCGCTTTTATTTTCATTTGGAACAGAGATGATATCAGAAGTTGTATCATAATGTCAATCACTTGTGAATTTGTCATCAAGGCAGATGTCGTCGTGTGTTTATCAATCTTCTCCCATGGCGATCACTTGGTTGCATTACATGATGTAAGTTCCTTACTCTCTCTCTCCTGTTTTCCCTTGCTTCTGGTGGAGTGGTGGTAATAAGTAGCTTGATCATACTGTTATGTGGAATCTATTTTTCCTGTTCTTTCGCTTTTTTGGAGACTTTTCACCTTGACGGTAGTAATTCACCACGTCACATGTAGGGATGGCAATGGGTCGGGTTGGGTCGGGTTTTGCCAAACCCAAACCCAAACCCATGGGTTTATCTTTGAAAAAAACCCGGGGTAAAACCCACCGGGTTTGAAAAACTCAAACCCAATCCAACCCGTTGGGTATCCGCGGGTTCATGGGTACCCACGGGTTTTGTCGTAAAAAATTTACAATTACAAGTTCTTATCAAAATTAAAGTCAAATATCAATCTCTCAATACAAATTATCCATATATAAAACACCATTCTAGAAAATTCAAGCAAATCACAAATTAACTATACAAATTGTTCAACACCAATCTAGAAAACTCATGAAAATTGAAGCAAATCACAAATTATCCATAAATAACATGTTTAATTGAAAGCTTCTTTCTTTCAATTAAGTTTCTTTAGTCTCCACTCCATAACATCAACTTCATTCTACACAATTAAAAAGAAAAAATTAGACATGTCTCCACAAACATAAATAAGAATAGTTGTTTAGAATATTAAATATACCGAAAAAATTAATTATATGAGTGGGCGGGTACCCACGGGCCGGGTTTACCTAAACCCAAACCCAACCCAACCCGGTGAATAGTGAACGGGTTTAAACCCAAACCCGGCCCAAAACCCGTCAACACGGATTTTACCCGCGTTGACCGGGTTGGGTCGGGTGGGTACCCGTGGGTTCGGGTTTTGTTGCCATCCCTAGTCACATGTTAGCCACTAGCCAGTCATACTTATCTTATGGGCTTTGTATTGGCCCGTGAACAATCTCCAACGCCACCACAGCTATTTTCCTTCGGGCCTGTGAAGCCGGCCCACGATTTGACTCCGTCCAGCTTTCTTCTTCCTTGCACTGATACAATCCCGCACACCTCTTAGAAATTTCCTTTCTTTTTCCCGCTTTTTTTTGCTGGCTTCTTCATCTAGAAACCCTACTGAAATGGCGGCAAGAACCGATCAATCGATGGTAGTGGAGCAGGGTATCGACGACAGGCTGAGCACCTTACCGGACGAACTCATCGCCCACATCCTCTCTCTCCTGCCAACCAAGTACGCCGTGGGAACCGCCGTCCTGAGCCGGCGGTGGACGGATCTCTGGACTAGGGTTTCCAATCTCGATTTCGACGTCCACCTTTCTTACAAGCAGCTCGGTACGTACCACGGAGGAGATTCACCAGCGCAGGCAGCGTTTCGGGCGAGGCAAGACTTGGAATTCTTCCGCTTCGTCTACAGGGTTCTGAGCCAGCACAGGAATCTCAATTCGGTGAGGCGTTTCCGCTTACACTTTCTATTATTCCGGCTTAACTGGAGGTCGACGCTAGATGGTCTTCTCGAGAGGAAACTGTTGTTTGGGTCTCAGGTTGAGGAAATTGATGTGAGTATTGTTGGGGCAGTGACATATGGACATCCCGGACTGATTTGGTGGCTTCCAGAGGGCTTCTACACTTTAAAGAATCTTAAAGTTATGAAGCTCCACTCTGTTCTGATGAGTGCGCAGGGGTCAGTTTCTCTTCCTAGTTTGAAGATCTTACAGCTTCAGCGAGTAATAGTTCGGGACTCTGAGTCGTTAGGCAGACTTATCTCTGGCTGCCCTGTTCTGGAAACTCTTGATCTGGAGTGGTGCTACTTAGACAACTCCAACGAGAAGAATATACGCATTGCTTGCTTGTCATCCTTGAGAAACCTGAGGATTGTAGACGACCTTGATGTTAAGCACTTGTTTTGCCACATTGCAATCGAGGCCCCGATTCTCGAGCATCTTGTTCTTCTGGGTTTCGTAGACTTAACGTTTCTAGGCCGTAGATCATTGACATGCCTGTATTCAGCTGAGATTCATGACATAGGAGGAGGGTCGTATCAATGTCTGATTAGGTTGCTCACCCAAATCACCAACACCAAGAAAATGTTCTTGCACGACGATACTCTTGTAATGAACATTTTCTACTTTCTCCTGAAAGTTCGCTCTTTTATCATTTATCTTTGTTTTTAGAGAGCTGATCTTGGTAATCCTCGTTTCCAGGAAGTTCTGTCAGCTGGCAATGATGTTCGGCGGCTTGTCTTCCCCAATTTGACACTCCAACCTACTGAAAGGTGCTGCAGCTGGATTCTACACTCCTTCCTCCACTCAGTCCCCAAATTACAATCTCTTGTCATCAATCCGGTGAGTTCCACATCTCTCTCTCTCTCTGAATGAAAATATTCTTACACTATTACTCATAGGAGGAATGAGCATGAATAACTTGATATGTGGAATGGTCAGAGGATAGCTGAGGGCCCGATGATATGGGAGGAGACAGAACCTGGGCCGCAGTGTCTGAAATGGAGCCTTGAGGAAATCGAGATCAAAGGTTTTGCACCATTAGAAAATGATATGAAAATGGTAGGATATTTGCTCAACGTTGGAGCTGTATTGAGGAAGGTAGTTATCCACGTAAGCAAAGATGATAATACCGAACGTGAGCGCAAGGGACTTCAGACACTGCTAAAACTCCCAAGAGAATCAAGCGCCTGTGACGTTCGCCTTTTACTATGCGACAGGGAGATGGACATTAATATCGATGATGATGATGATAATGATGATGATGATGATGATATCAATACTGATAACTAAGGCGAGATTGACTTTGATGATGAAGACGAATGTCTTATAAATATGTTAAATGATCCCCCGTTGTTAATCCAAATGTCAATGACGTTGTCTCTTATTAAGAATATGGGAATGGGATGCAGATAGATATCCGGAGGATTACTATCATTTCTTTGTTGTATATCAACTTGAAGTTAATCGAACTAAGTCTATGTTGATTCTTGCTTGCCTTCTCTTGTTGTATGTCTACTTTGAAGAATCTTAATGTTGTGGAACTCAACAGGGTCATAATGAATGCAAAGTGGAGGTCAGTTTTCCTGCATAGTGAAGAGGTTTTAAAGCTTGAACAAGTATACCCTAAGGACTTCAAGTAATTAAGCAGGCTCATTTCTGGTTTGCCTGTTCTAGACTCTTCATCTGGAGTATCCATGGATATGAAGGAGAAAGGCGTGTGCTTAGTTATTGGTTCCTTGCCAAACTTGAGAAACTTGACGATGGTGAGCTGTGGTGATCGTCGGTACAAGAAGTGGCTGTGTCCCATTATAACCAAATCTCGAGCAGGAATCCTTATATTCGCTGACTCTTACATTGGCCTGATTGAGTTACTCATCCAAACTCTTGTCCTTCAAGTGATGAAGAAGAATGCGAAGAGTTTGTGTCACTGGACTCACTGCTACGAAAAATGCTCGCCTTTACTTCGAGGTAGAGAGATGAGCACTAGTGTCGACGGCGATGTCCACGAGTAGAGATTTGCCAATGAGTTTGACAGAGACGGCGAAGTGGAAATCGATGACAAGACGGTTCCCATGGTTAGTCCATGCTAATGCTTCCTGGTCCTTTCTGGTTTCAGTTTCTAGAAGTGCAAAAAGAAAAAACACTGGTTTTCTAGCGAGATCGACACCGTGCATTAACTACGATCCTACTTGTGTATAGTTTCCTAAAAAAAAATGATTTGTCATCTAGAAACAGTGTTATTCAGTGGGAACAAGTGGCGAACTGTGTATACATATCGGCTACCATCTGGAAGCTGCTGTCAGTTTCTCCCAAAAGTCCATCGCACATACGTATGGCTGCCAACTCAAAGGCAGGCAGCCGCCATGGATGCAAAATGAGGTGCTCCCTCCTGCTAGCTAGCCTGATATTATCTGACAACGTGTTCAAATAAGAGTAGAGTTGGTGGAGTTAGTTCATCTTACTGGTCTCATACCCGATTCATATTCATCTCGTCATGTTTAATAAGATGGGTCTCTCAGTCTGAGTCTTTTTTCCCCCTCATCAATGTGTCCATAACCCTCAACAATGGATCAGGAAGAGACAGAAGTACGATACACCATCAAGGCTAAGAAGCTTTCCTACAGACTCTCCCGCACAGTAAATGGTGGTGGCAGCTGGCTTCAATGGTGGAAGCAACTGAAGCCAATTGATGTTGCTGATGAGTACATACTGAGGAATGTTGAATTTGAAGCCAGAGCAGGTGAAATCATGGCCATTGCTGGTCCAAGTGGTGCTGGTAAGACCACATTGCTTCAGATACTCGGCGGCAGCCTGGTTACAGGTTGTCGCCAGGCTTCTTCACGAGTCTCCGGTGAAGTACTCGTGAACGAGAAGCCGATGAATGCATCTTGGTTCCGCAGAATATCTGGATATGTGACCCAGGATGAGGCACTCTTCCCACTTCTCACAGTAGAGGAGATGGTCTTGTACGCAGCTCGGCTCAGGTTAGGTGGAGGGGTCCAACTGGCTCGAGCCAGAGCGGAGATTCTATTGAAGGAGCTAGCTCTTGAACGTGTTGCCAGTGTCAGGATTGGAGATGAAGCTAGCAGGGGAATTTCAGGTGGTGAGAAGCGAAGAGTGTCCATCGCTGTTGAGCTAGTTCATAACCCTGCTGTTCTTCTCATTGACGAACCAACCTCCGGTTTGGATTCTGGATCGGCTCTTAATGTGGTTCAGCTGCTTCAATCCATGGCTGCAGACCATGGTAAGACGATTGTGCTGACCATCCATCAGCCTGGGTTTCGTATCCTCAAGGTGTTCGATTGGGTTCTGCTGCTGTCGAATGGAGCTGCTCTGTATGAAGGAACGCTTGCATCGCTCGAGGAGCGACTTATATCTGCTGGTTGTTGCATTCCAAGACATGTCAATGTGCTGGAGTTTGCCATTGATGTGCTGAAAACCTTGAGAAGAGATGATGGTGAAAGAAGTGAAGATCACAGTAGCGATGAAGACGAGTTATGTTATGACGTGCATATGAAGAAAACTAGAGTATCCTACTCCAACGGTCGATTCACAGAGGTGTGGATACTTGGACAGAGATTCTTCAGCATAATCTGCAGAACAAATCAGCTCTTCACCTCCAGAATGGTACAAGCGCTAGCTGCTGGACTAGTGCTGGGGACCATATTCATGAATGGAAGAGATGAACCAAACAGGTACGTGCTCGAAACTCAAGTTGGATTCTTCGCCTTCAGCCTCACGTTCTTGCTGTCATCCACAACAGAAGCTCTGCCGATATTCTTACAAGAGAGAAGAATCCTACTGACAGAGATCTCAAAGGGATCATACAGAGTCTCTTCTTACATCGTATCGAATGCACTCGTGTTCATTCCTTTCCTGTTCGTCGTGGCTGCGCTGTACAGCCTCCCAACATACTGGCTAATCGGACTGAGAAGAGACATTGATGGGTTTCTGTACTTCTTACTAGTGGTATGGCTGGTGGTGATGATGTCAAACTCCATGGTTGCATGCTTCAGCGCCTTAGTACGAGATTTCATCACAGGGACATCCTTGATTGCCTGCTTCATGGGATCCTTCTTCCTGTTCTCTGGGTACTTCATAGCCAAAGACGACATGCCTGAGATTTGGGTGTTCATGCACTACCTGAGCTTGTTTAAGTACCCATTGGAGTGCTTTATGATAAATGAGTATGGGGGAGAGCAAGGCAAGAGGAGATGCTTGGAGTTCGTTGATGGAATCTGCTCTCTGGATGGGCAAGGATTCTTGAAGCTGCAAGGTCTTAAGGAGTCTCAGAAGTGGAGTAATATCGCAGTAATGTTGTCTTTCATTTTTGCATACCGATTCCTCTGCTTTCTGATTCTCTTGTATAGATCACAGAGAATGAGGAATTGAGTTGGAAATCAAATCAAATCTTTGCATCATGAGATGACATTTTGTTGCTCACTAATAACATTCTGACTTGTTATTCGTCGTATTAAAATTTTTTTAAAAAAAACGCCCTAAACCAGGCGGAATCGACACTTTTACACTTTCTCCAATTTCTAACCCTAGTTGATGGCTGATGGAGTGGGAGGAAGCAGAACCTACTTTTCATATTTTATATATTGGTCTAATGTTTTAGATGTTATTTGGATCTATGAATTTAATTCACCATTTGATTTTGAAACTATCAATTCAATCCACCAATCAATAGATACAAACTATTTGCCACCTTCATATGTGAGGAATGTAGTATTTTGGATATCGTCTTATTGTATTTGTAAGATAGAATGTGACCAAACTTCGAAATATCTGTCTAAGATAAAATCTAAAATTTATATGACCATTCTGTGCAAGTACCAAATTTCCGAAACCATTTTGGATAATTACCCAACAAATCAATCAGTGTAAGCGTCGCTTTGCTTCTTCGCGCGCCTCTCCCTGTACACGTTCCCAGGTTAGAGGCACCTCCAAACCTTTCATCCATGGAGAAGAACGCTGCTAAAATGGCGAGGACTGACAAATGGAAGGTACCGGAGCCGGGAATCGACGACAGGCTGACCTCTCTACCTGACGAAATCATCTCCCACATCCTCTCTTTTCTGCCAACCAAGTACGCCGTGGGTACCGCCGTCCTCAGCCGGCGGTGGAAGGATCTCTGGACTAGGGTTTCCAATCTCGATTTCGACAACCGCCTGGTTTACAGGGATCTTATCAGCTCCCGCGTCGCTAATTACTTTCGGCTGACGGAGATGGAAGATAGGAGGAGGGATGTGGAATTCCTCCGCTTCGTCGATAGGGTTTTCAGCCAGCACAGGAATCTCGATTCTGTACGTTGTTTCCGCTTCCATGTTTCAGTCTCGAGGGCGATGCAAGATTACTTGAATAAGAGGGGATTGGCATTTGGGTCTCAGGTTGAGGAAATTGATGTTATGCTTCTTGAGGCCATTGTATCTCAACTTTGTCTCCAGCTTCCAGAGAGTTTCTACACTTTGAAGAATCTTAAAGTTGCGAAGCTCCACGAGGTTAAGGCCACTGTGAACGGGTCAGTTTCTCTTCCTAGTTTGAAAATCTTAGAGCTTTGGGATGTCTTAGCTGAGGACCGTGAGTCCTTGAGCAGGCTCATAACTGGTTGCCCTATTCTGGAGACTCTTCGTCTGGAGCATTGCATCTTACTAGACATGAACGAGAACGACGTACTCATTGCTTCCATACCATCCCTGAGAAACTTGACGATAATTGCTTTTCTTGCTGAGGATGATGATAAGTGCTTGTGTCGCATTGCTATGGAAGCGCCAAAGCTTGAGCATCTTTATCTCGAGGATTTCACAGAGTTAGAGTTTCTATGCAGTAGTAGTCCCTTGCCATGCCTCGATTCAGCTCGAGTTGACACTGGTCGCAGAGCAAGCTCGTATCAAAGCTTGGTTAGGTTGCTCGCCCAAATCTCCAGTGCAAAGGAGATGTGCTTATATTGGAATACTCTTGTAATGAACATTTTCCCCTTACTCCATAAACTACACTATCTCTTAGTTGTTTAGAGGGCTGATTTTTTTAGTAATCCTTGTTTGCAGGAATTTCTGTCAGCAGGCGACAATATTCAGCTGGCTGTCTTCCCCAATTTGACGTATTTGACACTCGAACCTACTGAAAGGTCGAGCAGCTGGATTCTGCACTCCTTACTCCACTCAGTCCCCAGATTACAATCTCTTGTCATCAAACCGGTGAGTTCCACATCTCTCTCTTCTTACGCTATTACAAATGAACATGAATGACTTGATTTGTGGGATGTTCAGAGGATGGCTGAGGGCTCAATGTTATGGGAGGAGACAGAACCTACTTGTATACCGCAGTGTGTGCAGTCGAGCCTCGAGGAAATCAAGGTCAAAGATTTTGTACCCCTGAAAACTGATGCGGAAACGATAGCACATTTGCTCACTGTTGGAGCTGTACTAAAGAAGGTAGATATCCACGTAGTCAAAGCTGATACCAAACAAGAGCGCAAGGAACTTCAGGTACTGCTAAGACTCCCAAGAGTATCAAGCACTTGTGATGTTCGCATTTTTCTCTGCGACAGTGAGATCGACATTGATATCGATGATGGTGGTGAGATCAACGCTGATATTCAAGACGAGGTTGACATGGATGATGAAGTCTAATACGGCTTCCATTGTTAATCCAAGCAACGTCTCTGATGTTTCATCAGGTTGAATGAGTGAAACTTATAGTTGCAGCAGTAGCAGCATCATGTGTGCATGACTTTGTAAACCATTGTCTACTAGGAAGTTAAAGCCCGCGCTACGCGACGGGCAAAACAGGTTGGATAGATATTAGTTTGCTTCAAAAGACACAAAATAAACCTTTCGATCGCTACCCAAGTGAACCACATGCACCTCACGTCAGGAGGCTTGTAACGTAACGTTTAATTGGTATCCATGTCCAATTTGAACACGTATGACACGCTTTAAAGATATCAATTATATCCGAATAACTCTAAAAGTGTAATCACTTCTCATCCTAACATTTGAATAGACACATGAGCATAGTGCACTCGAAATAAATTTTAGATACATTAAGAACCTACTTAGCACATTAAAATTCTCGACACAGCAACAATGCAATCATTAAAAAAATCCATGTGACAGGCCATATTAAAAGTACGTAAGCTCAATAACAGGTTGTTAGGATATCATCAAAACATAAACTTAGCATAAAAGTCATTCCACACCATGCAGAATTGCCATTACTCGCACTATCTTCCATTCCATCACCTCCTCTTCCCAGTAGCGTCAGATACAGCTTTCCCCCCATACAATCACTTGAGTTGAATCAGTAAATCATTTGGTTAAATATCAGTAACTCACAACTATCAGGAAATCATTAAGTGATTAATCATTTGGTAATCACTGAACACATACTCAGAAGGACAAAAGTCCATAGAGATTGATCCTAATCATGCTTCTTGATAACAAAAACCAAGTCCGTTAAGAGTTGTACCCGTGAGTTGGTATGGTTCGGGAGTAACTTTGATTGCGTAGTAGAATCTAGGATTCGTAGTAACTTGTAATCCTAATCTCTTTCTTCATTGGATTAAACTGAAAAGGTACAATTTCAATAGCCATATAGGGATTTCAAGAAAAGGAGAAACAATTCTGACATCATCCTGTGAAATGAATCCTGCCCCTCCCAACTACTTCCATCCAAGAAATCTAACCCTTCCATACAACCAAAATCCTTACTGATAAGAACTCTCTATATTTACAGACCATATCGCAAAGGTAATCATCAGCTACTCTGTAAACTTGCCGTGCTCATATTTGCTAAAGAAAGGAAAAGAAAATGCTAGCTAGATTGGGGTAATGGTGTTGCTGCTTTGCTTTCCTTGCTGGCAGCAACTAACGAAATAGCTGCTGCAGTGGACTTTTAATTATGTACTCTTGTTGTTTTACTTTCCATTCATATCAAACACCTTAATTTGCTTCCTCCTTATTCTATATATCCACATAAAATTGGATCTAAACATTTAGTTTCAATAACCCAAAAGCCTAATGGTTTTTCTTCTGCATTGTACTTCATTTCATTCATTCCGACAAACTAAAACAACAGTGATGGGAGAAGGAAGTACCAAAACCTCTTCAACGCTGAACAAAGCATGCAAGAATATGATGGCGGTTCCAGCCTGCAGGTCCTCCTCATCTTCCCCCCATCTTCCTCCCTCCATCATATGCATTCGGCTTCATTTCTCACTCTAAGTCACAACCGTGCAGCAAGACCTGGATCAGACTATAACGGCAAATTAACAACATGCACTCGCTGGACAATACACTATCTATGCAAGTGAAGTTATTTGAGGTAGATAAAAAAATATCCTTCAGAGAACAGCAAATATGGCAAACTAAACGTTTCAAAGGAAGTAAACAAAGATGTTAAACAACACGTTGGAAAGGAAGTAACAGCAGAACCCAAAAGCTTCTATTTATCCATTTGGAGCAGGCAGTTCCATTCAACTCTAAAGAACTTTTAAGTACTAACTACTTTACAGCTCTAAGTCGTGGATGGGAAGAAGTTATATGGTGCATTACCCCATTCACGTTTCAAGCTTTGCTGCAGAAGCAATGGCAAAGGAAACGACAAAATAAGGGTTCACAAACAAACTGAAATAACAGGCAAAAATCAAATACTAACCTATTATGTTATGTTTGGACTGTCACCCTGCCACACACACTCTCTCTTTCTGCAATTGAGTGGGTGTAGAGGAGAACCCATGGCAACTCTGTTTCGTAACAGATCGTCTAATTTTCTTATCTTCTTCCTTTTTTTCTCTTCATCCTCCTAAGCTACGACCAGGAGATTTGACGGGGGAAATCATTGTTGCTGCTTACAGCTCACTCCTTGTCTTCTTCTTTGCATTCTCCATATCATAGCGAGACTTCCTGCACGCGGCACCCCAAATATGATATTTAGTTAAGGTAGAACATGCACGAACATGATTGAACCAAACATGGACCTATCCTACAATTCAATTAAAATAAAACCTCCAAAAGGTAAATTATTTGCCATAAATATTAACCCCTCAGATTAGTAAAGAACAAAGGACATGAATTACTTATTATGTTGTCTTTTATCTCATGGAAGACATCCCAGAATTGCAGAGTTTGCTCCAGTAACTATTTTCTGTAAAGAAAAGAATCCTGTAGAGTTAGAACTCGTTGAGTAACTATTGCTAAACTGCCTCCGAAATCCTGTCCTGACTCAACTAAAAGATGCACAGCATCGGAAATAAAAAAAGTAAAAGATGCATAGCAAGAAGTTGTAGTTGGAGTGCTGGTTGGCTCAGTTATGGAACTCAAGAACAAATGAAACAGACTGATAAAAGAACCTATTGCTAATTTCTAGTTAAGGAGCTCATGATCTTAAAAATGACAGCACATTGTGGCAGGTAAGAAATGCAGCATGCCTGTAAAATAAGAGGAATTGACTGAGAATTAGAAAACAAAACCCTGAGAAATAAACAATTAACCTGGTATTGCAGATCCTCCAAGCCTAATTTTGCTCCCTTTCTTACAAACTCCATGTCTCTCCAAGCGGCATCTTCCTATTCTCAAATCTCTGCGTAGCTGCTATCTACATATGATAAAGAAGAGAGATAAATAGGGGAATTTATATCCAAAAACAAAAAGAGAAACAGAGGTAAAAAGAAAAATTGAAGATAGGGATGCAACTGGAAAGGAAGAGAGAAAAAGGGCATGTAAACTTGGTCATGACAAATGTACTTGCAATGCTTTTGTTTTTGTTGATGATCCACTTCAGTATGTTAATAGTGAATACACCACATTGCAAAGGGAATCATAAAGATTGAGCAAACATACGAAGAAAAAAAAACACATTTTATGTTAAAATTCTCATACCATGCCAAGGTACTTAGGGGTCGTTTGGATGAGGAATTGTAACGGATCAATTTGACACAATTGTCTCGTTTTGAGACAATTGTACCAAATTGCCTCGTTTGCCAGCAAAAAAATTGGATGGATCAATCTGCCTGAGGTATTTTGAATTGATCCGTTTTGAGTCAATTTCAATTACCTGGGGTGAGGGCAGGTAATTCGAATTGACTCGTTTTAATTGCCTCATTTATAAAACGAGACAATTGATCAAATTGACTCATTTCTAGATTGATCCATCCAAACGACCCCTTAATGCATTTTAAGTGTGGTTTAGACCTTGGGAGTCTCTTTAGTTCAAACTTTTGACCGTCTCCAATGTCCAACCTGCGTAAGATGGAAAAGCTTGGCTAAGAGATGGCTTCATATTTCCACATTAACCAAACAGAGAAACAACCCAAATGCATTCATTCAATCACTGATGAATGATGATGCCTAGTTAATTTTTACCAGTTAAAAGGCAAATACATCAGGCTGTTTATCAGCATAAGTATCGAAAATAGAATCCAACTCTAAAGAGTTGTGGCAGAGAGAAATAGTTTGCTAAAAACACATCAGGTTGGTGCTACGAAAAACAATGAAAGTCATGATCTCAGCCTACAAACATATGCAATTTCATACTTAAGTAAGAGCTACCCGATAAAGATAAATAAAAAGAGGGAAGTTGTGGCGAAGATCATATTGTGTACAGATTCAACTGAAAGAATAGATAACACATAAGCTCAATGAACCAACCTAAGCTTAATGAAAAGCAAACCAGCCCCATCAAAGTAATTAGGAAAATACTGTTAACGACATACATAGTTAGTATTTTTATCATGAAGAGCATATTTCATTTCAGAAAACCTTTATGTTTCTCTCTACTCCTGTCACCGGCAACATGCAAAATAATAATGGTAAATAACAGCACAAGACTTACAACTTCCCTAGCTAAACCCCCATGCTCCTATAGAAAACAGACAATATGTTACAACAAAGCAGAGAGTATAGATACCCATATGGACTTGTGACAAATAAGGAAAAGGATTAGTGATTGACATGTTTCTCAAGCTTATTAACTATACGTACTGAGAACAGGTAATGGTTTCTCAAAATAAATCTCATAAAATCCTCAGGATCCTCTTCACAACATCATTTATCCTGCCCACGTGAATGATCGTGTTCATCACTGGCCATATAATGTCATTAATCTACTTTGTATAGATGTAGGCAAGCATGATCTGGCATCACAAATAGAACCAAATTCAGAAAAAATCACAATGGTGGTTATACAACTTTCTATAGTATGTTAGCAGGCAAGGTAGTACAATAACATGTAAATTCGAGTACCAACTGCATGTTGCAATAGAAGAGTTGTAATTTGTGTGTTGTGGAGAAACAATCCTGTCAATTCACTGCCAATCCGAAGGCACAAATTTCTAAAGAGAAAACACATAAAGCTGTAACATTATCAGGGAATCTATTAACAAACACCAAACACATGAAATGAATGCAATTTTTCTCACCTCGAACTTGATCTTGTGGTTGAGGAATATAGTTTTTGACTCTATCACAACCAATCAACACTTTCAATTAAATCGAAATAGTCTTGTAATGTTAGGATCATATTTGGGTTGTGCGGGATTCATATCCATGTTCTGCAGATTTACCTTCGCATGGTAGATTTATGTAAAATCAAGAGATATGAAAACTTAGTAACCCTTTGTGAGGAAGTAAATCATTCAACACAGGAAGTGGCAATTGGAGTTTGTGTGGAAGAGTTTGTGTGAAATTTTCAAAGGTAAAAGAGAAACTGATTTTTTTATTATGACATCCTTCATTCGACTCCCACCTATTTGACAGTCAATGGGTCACCAATTGTTGTCTGAGAAACTAAATCTTCTGACCAATCAGGAAGAGTAAATCCTAGAATGAATAGGAAAAATTATGTGGTAGCGGTATTGAATACAACGAAAGAAAAAAAGAAGAGTAGATGGAAGAGGAAGAGAAATAAAGCAGAGAACTAACTTGCTCGAATCAAAATAGTTGTTGTCAATCATTGCTTGAGACAAAGAGCAGCCGTTGGAAGAGGGAGAAAAGAGAGGCCAAAAAGGCAACTGTGAAACTGTGGATCCATCCCCATATCAGGGGCAGCATCATGCTTGTTAAAAATGATATACAATGCAGCAAACTACTCACTAAACCGGCAAGCATTCATCATACATACTTGCTAAGATGGTGAAGAGAAGCTTACCTTGCTAACATCTTCTTGAAACTCCAAGTTATCATTACCCAGCCAAGCTCAAAAGGATAGTCTTCGAGCATATAAAGAGGTCTTACATAGCACTGCTCCCTCGTTGTTCTGACCACAACTCGTAGCTTTGATAGCTCTAAGCACCAACCACCAGGAGTTCCATGAAGAACTGGATTTCGGAGCACTCAGTGATGACCTATATAGAAAGGAATAAAAACTGAGCAACAACCTTGAGGATTTTAAGCCCAAGAGAAACGATGAAAAGAAAAATTGAACAGCAAGCAATGTTAAAGTGAGCAAAAAACAAAGCAGGACTGATCGGAAAGACGTGAAAGACAAAGAATAAACATTCAACAGAAGCTGTAAAATGCTTAAGCGGTAAAAAGAACTAACTAAAACGGGAAAACAACCGATTAAAGTCACAATTTATAAGAACACCTGACCAATGGCGGAAAATCCCAACCAACTGTTTGGCGAAGGCCATCTCTTCAGGCATCGTGTCCGTAGTTTGTATTTCGTTACTTGTCTTTTCTGTTTCACTTTTCTTTCTGTCATTGTTTTGGTTGATGATGATACAGTGTTCCATCTCCAGTACATACACAAACAATGATAGAAAGAAAGGAGATCAGAGCAGATAGCAATCCCAGGCAACCAAACCAAACACGACTGAGGATGGAAAACAAAAAAAGAACAACGCAAAACCACTTTGAGTAAAAATACACAGAGGTTAAATAAAGTTAGATGCAAATTTTAAAGCAAAACCTGTCAATTTCTATATAGAATAAGGAACCTGCAGTGGAATAGGAAGTGATCACCTGCAAGAGATTGATTACATATGGTCGGTCGCGACAAAACTCCGTTGACATATCGGCCACCCATCGCTCGCTTTTGCTCGTTCATAAGGTTACGGATAAGGCACGACAGAACATCAATTACCATCGGAATCCTTGTAATATACCTCGGTGACCCAACCTCCTCTGAAAGGGGACGAAGAAACCCTCCAAAAGAAGAAAGAATGAGAACGAAACCATGAAAGGAAGAAAACAGAGTTAACAAACTAATCACAGAAAGAACCGTCACCTGAAATCCAATTGCAGTACGGAACCTGGAGATCGGATTTTTCTCCAAACCGTGACGCAGAACACCGATTATCATAGGAATCCTGGAGATTAGCTTTTCTCCACACCATCACTGAACCTCTCAAATCTGCCGGCTGTGATAAACAAAGAGAACAAAGAAACCAATACAAAATCAGCAAGAGAGAGCGGAACAGAGACTATAATGAAACTGAAACACAGAGGAAAACTGATGATGCAGCAATAGTTCGTCGTAAGCACCTATGAGCGAAGAAGTCTGGTTGCGTCGTCCCCTCATCGATTCGTCGGAGAAGAAGCTTAGATGGAGAAAGACAAGTTTAAACTGCAAGTGTCGACCGAGACATGTGGCCGTTGAGATTGGGAGTTCAACAAAAAGAATCGAGATCGAAGATGAACTGGAAAAAGTTAAAGAAATTCATCTGCAAGGGTGGGTTCTTCTTCTTCCTTGAGATGAGTGGTTGCGAGGGATAGAAGGGGTGAGTTTCTTCTTCTTTGAGATGAGTAGCAATGTTTGTGAACAAACAAGTGGTGAAGGAAGAGACAGAACGATGAATGACCTGGGAAAAGAGGATGCATGTGATAGCGCGAAGAAGCAATGATGATTCACAAAGACCAAAATGGCAACTAACAGAGCAGGCGGTGGAACGGCGGCGAAGTGAAAGGGTAAGGGTAAAGGCGAAAAGTAGGATCTGACGGAACGGGGATCGACACACCACTCATAAAGTAAAGGGGAAACCTGTACTTCTCTGACCAGTTTTTCATTTCGTAAGGACAGGCGGCTCTGTCAGAAGAGAGAATAGACAATGGAAAACCACATCAAAACAGGTAAGGGAACTAAAAAAAGTTGAGTTGGGAGTGTAAGGCCACTATTTGAAACCCAATAGTTGGGGAATTTTACTAATGGCAACGGACTGATTCCTATTTAGTCTTATTCATCAAACATCCTAATTAATACACGCACATAAGCATATACATATTTGATCAACCATAAATCTAAATCCAACATCAGCATAACTGTGGATTGTATTTGTTCTTATCCCCGTTCACTGGACGCAATTCGCACTGAGAATAAGTAATTCCTATACAACACGTTTAACATTCGCATAGTTAACGAATTTAATTTGGAATCAGAATTTAATTACTGCATACATTTCGTCATTACCAAAGTAAATAATTTTGTCTATATACCAACACGAACGGAAAACCAAATGTGTTTTCAGTGAAGAGCAAACACGAAAACATGAAAAGTTTCTCCATGCAACTTGCTTGAAACGATCGTAAATAACGAACGAAGCATATGTCATGGAGGTAAAACTAAATCATAAAAAGAACAGGTTTCATACAAAATGAAGGTAAGCAAAAGCTACATTTGCGAAAAGCACAAAAAGGATGAAGAGAAAAGTCCTGCCAATCTTAAAAGGAAGGAACGGTTCACTCAGAACACGATAAAACGAAGTCAGGCAAAAACACAAAGAAGAGGACATCAACTACTAACACGTTTAAGCGCAAGGCACAAACTAAGCATCTTCTATCAAGAAGACGGCGTAAAACAAAAAATATATAACAAAGCGATTTTATAGGAAACCGAAGTAACAAAAATCTATAACAACAAATCGGCAAAAACAATCGGCATGTTGCGCTGAAAAGGTAAAGAAACATTAGAGTAAAAGGAGCGTTTGCGCAAGAGAAGTAAAGCAAGCGCAAAGGAACGAAAGCAATGGAAAAAGCGACATTGACAAGTGTAAAGGGAGACAACATTATCTTGTGTGTTTTGCGTCGGCAACACCAAAAGCGAAGTTGGACAACAGTGACAAAACGCAACAAACACGGAAGGAAGCGAATTAAAAGCAGTAGTAAACCAAAAAATAAGAATCGAGGAAAGCAAAATAAGAGGTAGAGAGCAAAACGCAAATATAAGAAATCAATGAAAGCAAAACAAAAGGTACAAAGTAAAAAAGAATTCGGCAACAACAATTCTATAGCGGTCACAAACATAATACGCTTTAAAAACAACAGACAGAACGCAAAAAACACGCGAGTAAACGAACAAAACAATCACAGAAAACAAAATCACACTAACAAACTAAAAGACAACAACAAAAAGACTCACAAACCAATCATTTGCATGATGTGACTATAAGTAATAGTGCACATCTTACTTGTTCTTTAATAAGAAGAATTATTTTGTTTTCAGATTTGTCACTATTCATTTCAATTCTAGTAGCCATGCTTCTAATTTTCATTTTAAAAGATTTGATTTCCCAATTATAAGGAATTAGTGATTGCTGTACCGTCTGAAGAAGGTAATCAATTTATTCTTTGATCCTGCCAAAGAACATTGCAAGGAAGTTCGATTGATCCACGAACATTCAAGAGAATCGATCAATTTAAGCTTATGGGCTACAGTCCATAAGGCCCATATAAAATATTACAATGCGGCCCAAACAGCCCAACAATGAGCTCCAAAAACACGGGGAAATCTCGAATTTCTTTCGCAGTTTCAGAGTTCACAGAGAACTAATGGAGATGCCTTCGTCTTCAAGGAGCTCATCATGGAGACATCACCACCGCCATCGGGGAGGGGAGAAATTCGTGTCGACTGTTATTTCTCCGGCGATCAGCGGGAAGACTTGCTCGATATGTTTGACGCCGCTCCACGATCACCGCAGAGCGGCGGTGATTTCCGTCTGCTTGCACGCGTATTGCTTGCAGTGCATACGGCGGTGGAGCGAGTTGAAGAGGCGGTGTCCTCTCTGCAACGCGGAGTTCGATTCCTGGTTCTGCAGGATCAGCCTCTCGTCTCGGCGATTTGAGACGGAGAAACTTCCGCCGCCTACAGCTCCGGTGAAAGCCAAGAGCTCCACGGCGGTGGCAATTCGGCGCGGCAGATTCGCTTCTCGGAATGCATTACGGTAACCTAATTCTCTTTAGCGGAGGAATTGAACTTGAGAATCCCTCCCCAATTGGAATAGGGTTTAACTCTTTGCCTTTGTTCCTTTGTGGTTAGGACGGTTCATAATGATAACCGGATATCGCAGCCTTTACCTAGGCGGCGAACTTTTGCCGGAGGGGAAAGAAGGCTTCAGTGGCGGGAAAGGTATGTCGACTCTTGTCAAGGAAAAATCTTTTGGTAACTTGTTGTCGTTGTTAGAATGGTCGATTTTACTTTGTTATGCAGTGATAATGGCTCCATTTTCACTTGATCTTGTGCTGTGCAGTATATACAAGCAATGCTTGCAAGCTGTTCCCATGGCTGATACTTCTCGTGGTAGGCGTAAGGTATGTCTGATGTCGGTCTCCGGGGTCCGGTAGAAATTTGTGCTCATTTTTGTAGTGTGTGAGTTTCTCAAGTTTCAGTTTGTTTAGAAGTCTCGACATCGCTTGTTCTGAACTGTACAGAACACAACAGTTGAAGGAATGTTACAGAGAATAGAACCATGGATCCGGAGGGAGCTGCAGGCTGTGCTCGATGATCCAGATCCGTCTGTAATTGTCCATGTGGCCTCCTCGTGTTTCATCGAAAGCGTTGAACGAAAATCCGATTTTCAATCTGGCGGCAACGGTGTTGTGGGCGACTTACTTGGTCCTATAAGGCCTTTTCTGGGTGACTGGGCTGATACTTTCTGGCATGAGCTTAGGTAATTAGACGTCTGACTGTTGACTTATGTCTGGCTGCTACTCGGTTTACTTGATGTACTATCAATGCCTAAGCTTGTATTTCCTTTGTTTGATGACCTGCAGATGTTTTGCTGAAAGTTCACTGAATATGGAAACATATGATGAGGTTGTTAACTATGTACCATCACAAGAGTTTGATGAAGCGAGGCCTCCAAGGATACATCTGCTCAGATAAACTCGGATAAGTTATGGACTAGCTAGATTCATGAAGCTGCTTGAAGTGGTACCTGTGAATGCTGTTGTAGGCAACCTTTTAATATTTTCAGCCAGGGGAACTAAAATGGGCAAATAGTCAGGTGGCGAAAAGGATCCCCCTGCTCCCTGAAGTCGATGGCGCATCAAATGACCATCTATTTCCTCCAGAAGCATCGACTTTGTGTAGGTACATACATTAACCAACTCTGCTGATCGTTACTTATTCCAATGATATTGTTTCAATTGCTCCAAACTCCTCTATGTATCTCTGTTTTACTCGTATGGTTCGGTCAGTTCTATGTAGGTCCTACTTCCCATGGTATCTTGAGCGATTTTACTTTCTTCTCTTGAACAGATGGATGGTACAATGTTGTCAACCGCTGCACCAACCTGACTCTTTGATTCATCACACTTCATCTGCTTCGGCGATGAGGGTTTATCGTAAAGAGGAAAGTGGAGGTACGGAAAGCTCTCTGATTTTACCCTGTGTATGGAACGAAGAGGGGATGCCGAGATGCTGGCTACCATCCTTCTCTACATCAGGTCTCCTTAAGTAACTGATACTAGGGATGGAAGCAAGATATCGTCTTGAGATCAATAGTTATTGATACTTATATTTTAGGGTTAATACCCTAGTTTGGCCCGAAGTTCAGTATTAATGACTGTTCTGGCCTCATTTTTCAAATAAGACATTTATGGCATACTTTTGAAATTATTGGACAAATTTGGCCTATAATTTAAATTGACCGTCAAAATTGACGGTCAACTATTATCTCCGTTAGTAACTCAACATACTGTGCTGACTGGACCTGTACACGTCATTATTATTTTTTACCAAAACAAGTCATTATTATTTAAAATAAAATAAAAAACAAAAAAGAGAGAGAGAGAGAGAGAGAAAAGGGGCACAGACCACTCTTCCCCTTCCTCATCTTCTTTCTCCATCATCCTCCCCAAATACACATAACCCTAAATAATCAGAGACCCGCCACCAGCCCCTCCCCAGGCCAAATCGCATCTAACAAAACCTAGTGCCGCCGTGCTCTTGCCAAACCCGCCGCCGCCGGTTCGAGACAATCCCCAACGTTGACGCCACCCAGGATGCGTCGGTGCTGTCCAAGCTAGCTCGCCTCTGTCGCCATAATCTCTGGTTGTTTCTTCTTCCCTTGGATCACCCCGCCGCCTACTGGTTCGACAACGAGATCGATAGATCTGGGACAGGGAGATCGACAATCCGTCCCCTTCCCTCTCTTCTTTCTCTCCATCGTCGAACCGAACACGCGCCACCACCAGCGCTCCCCATCGCCTCCGCGGAAGAGGAACCGTCACGAGCCCGACGAGGAGAAAAATAAGGACAGATAGAGAGCATCGACTTGTGATTTTGTGGACGGGATCTCGAGTGAGCAGCAACAGAAGCGAACGGACAAAAAGAAGGACAGGGAAGATGGAATGGAGGTAGCTAGAGATGGAAATGGTGGCGAGATGGGTAGGGAGGATGGGTGAAGATTTTAGGAAATCCATTGGGTGGGGAGGGTAGTGAATTGGGTCGTGAGGGCAGGGAGTTAGGGTGAAGATTGGATTTTGGTTTTTTTTGTTTTGTTTTGTTTTAAGATTTTGTTTTTGAATCTTTTTAACATAAAAAAATGATGTGGCAGTTATCTCGAATCCACCTCAGCATTTTGATGCTCAGTCACTGACGGAAAAACAGTTGACCGTCAATTTTGACAGTCAAATTAAATCATAGGCCAAATTTGTCCAATAATTTCAAAAGTAGGCCATAAATGTCTTATTTGAAAAATGGGGCCAGAACGGTCACTAACGCTAAACTTCAGGCCAAACTAGGGTATTAACCCTATATTTTACTTGTAATTTAACATCAATAACATTGTCTTTCTATGTCGAAAATATCAGTTGTTGATTGTTCACAAATGTACCGTCACAAGTGAAGATATAAAACAATACGTGTTATTGTTGCCACTCTTTACACATCAATGACATGATAGATTACATTATTACAAATACATAACAAACATTACAACTTGGACCAGAAAGCCCGAACGGAAGTGATCTGGGTTAGTGCACGAACTGGAAATCTAGTTGATGCTGCCATGGTTTCGTCGAACATCTTCCTTGTCGGCATGATTGGAAGAGCTATTCTTCCTCAGGTTCTTCCTCTTCCTGGAGAAGATTTTCCCTGTTATCATGGGCCCAGAAACCTCTTACATCTATGAGCATGCTGGCAACTGTTCCACCCTGTTTACAAGAGAGCAGATCGGCCAGGGTGATCCTCAGTTCATCGGCTGGCTTCACCATGTCCCAGATCTCGTCTCTCACATCCTCAATACACAGCTCGTAGTTCCCACCCTCAATCCATTTGTGATGCACGTCTCTGTTTCGTAATCACCAAAATTCATGAATGTAAGCATATTGAAATTTAAACGATAATGGACTTAGGACATCAAACTTGTGACATGAAAAGACTGCAAAAGTTTTGCTCAGGCACTACAAGCAAAAGACTGGTGATCGTCACTTATTCTTAGATTTGTGGATTTATGTCTCTGGATATATGAGACTTGCAGAGCTAGCTCAAGCACTACAAGCAGGAAACAACAGATTTACTATAGGAAGACTGTATCAGGTGGCAGCCTAACTCAATGATGCTCCCCTTCTTTGCTTCCATAAGAAAATTAGCGGGTATTGGAGCAGATATTTGTAAATGATTGAAAGCGTTCACCTGAAAAGGGAGTGAATATCAGCCGTTGTTAGAAATCCCCTCCCCTGAAGATCGAGACAGCGGAACAAATATGTCAGCCCTTCAGCAGTGTCTTTATTCTCCAGGGCCAGAACAAAGTCAAGGAAACTTTCGAAATCCATCTCGCGTGCATTTCCTGCTCCACTCTTGCCACGGCGGACATGTTCATCAAATACTACAAAAGAAAAAGATAGATAATGAGATCAAGAATCAAGCTATCCACAAACATGCAAGTGAAAAGACACAGAGTTTTCCCTTTGAGATATATTACCAAAAAGTAATCAGTAAAGAAAACATAGGGGAGACATGTGAATAGTCCAAGTTCAACAACCATCGAAAGACTATCATAGGATTCGATCGTGCAAGCATCCAAAGAGTTCAGATTAACATGAAGCAAACATCTTCCATAACCCAATGAGCAAGAGAATACAGGATGAAGTATAGGTTACACAGCACTTCCATGTACCTCTTTCAATGAAGATTTCTGTCAATGTCCCATCAGCATATTCTTTAAGCTCTTGCTTGCTCAATGTTCCATTTCTATCTTTATCGAGGTCCAGGAACATATCTACAAGACAATTGGAAACTACTTAGAGAACACAGAAATTAGAGAATTGCATGGTGCTGAATCAATATCATAAAAACTTCCGAAATCCATATTCCAGATAACTATCACTTCACTGCTTTTTTTTATTAGATTCTTTAGTCCAGTTGTCAGCTTCAAACGGATCACATACAACAAACAGTGACATAAGGACGCTTGGCCCAATATGGAAAAATACTGCAAGTCACAACTCATGTGGTTGCAATTATAAAAATACAGAATCATGATTGGAATTCATTGAAGAAACTATTTTTACCACATATGCGCTGTGCAGACGTAAGAGAGAACCAGTTTTCAGCTTGTTCTGTGTCAGTGACTTCCTCCTCACTCTCCTGGCACAGATCACAAGTGGTAAGGAAACAAAATGAAGTTTTTGAAGACCAGCTGTTATATTGAAAAGTCTAACTTGACATCAAAATTTACTTCGAAAAAATTCAGTCTAATTCTTGCACTACTATAAGAAGAAAAATGAACAATCAGCAACTGGTCTTTTTTTCGAGGATGTAGATGGCAATTTGCTTTACACACTTTCATCAAAGGTTAGGACCGGAATCATTTACCTGGTGCAATTCCATTAACTCCTGCAGGCAGTTGCTGAGAAGCACTTTCTTAATGCAAGCTTTCCCTGGGCCACCAACAGTAAGTCGTTAGCGATAAACACAAAAGACAAATAAGTTAAAAGCATGCTGAGCCTGAAATCAAGAATAAGTGATATCAAACAAAATTATGACTTCCATGGTTATAACTACTACTTCCAAACTCACCTCGCCTGTGCGGATCACAAAAGAAGAAGAATTTATGTGCAGCTATACGACAGTACATTTGAACAAAGACTCCAGGCATATCCCGCAGTTGTGCTAAATTAGGGATGAGACCTCTGATATAAGCCTCCATTTCCTACAAATACATCAGACAAATGTTTAAACATCTTTGCATAAAAGAAGTGCATTGCTTTATAAGGATAGCCTGGAAGAAGGAACAGCAATTGGGACAGCTGAAACTGTAAGAAATCTGATATACACATACATGGGGTTGAAGGAAGCCATCAGAATCTTCATCAAGCTCACTCATGTCTATTCTAGCTTGTGTGAGTGAAACCTAATCAAAACATTCAATATCAGGGAGTTGTAAATTAAATGTGTTGCGATCGTATGAAGTAGTACATAGTAAGAAAATCTCATGACTAGATAAGCCAGACTAACCGTCCGCATCACGTATAGATAGAAAGGAAGAATAGCAATTCTTCCTGATTCATCTTTCTCGAATTTCATGAAATTGGATGGGCTGAAAAACCTTCTGCATTTGGGACCTATTTGCTCCGTGCATACAGAAGCAATATGGCAAAAATCTTCATAATTCATCTGTCAGGTGATAAAACTGGGGTCAGTTTAGTGTTAGATGCACCCAAAAGCTGAGACCACTAGTTTAGATAAAACATTTAACAACTCGTTCATTAGTGTAAAGCAAAGATTCAAATGTCAATGCCAACCAACCTTCTCTGCGCCAGTAGCATCATCAATTACACAATTTTCTCTCAAGCAAACCCACATAGCATCCAAATCATCAGCATTTAGTAAAAGATCTGATTGCTTCTGCAAAAAGTGGAAGGACGAGTGTCATGCTTTGAACTTCTATTATGTTCATACAATAAAAAGGATACCAAGAGGGGGAAAAAAGGCAGAGTGCCCCAGCAGAAGCACATTCCATACCTTCAGAAACCGATACTTAGCCAGTCTTTGCACCCTGTGACTGATTGATCCTTCTTCCGGTTTCTAAAACCAACATTCCCAAACAGCAAAATAAAACTGAATATCAGTAAACCATTCGATTAATCCCAGCCAGAATGCAAGCCCAGTTCAAATATCATGCAACTATTCAACCTCACTGCCACTTGTACCACATACCTTCTTATAAAAACTAGGGATTGTACCAGCTTCCGCGCTCTTTTGCTGTTTTTCCTTAAATATATCAAGCAGAATTCTTTTTGTCTCAAGCTCTACAACACAGAGTACAAAAATCAAGTCACATTCCATGGCCTGCAAACCATTCTACATCCTAATTCCTAAGGATCCATAACTAAGCTTCCTTGACCCTAAGATAACCTTAATTTGCCGAGAAATGAGCGAGAAGCGCCGAAACTCACCCATTAGAGCTTCGGATCCGAGTCCGGCGCCGGATCCAATATACCTTCGGAGATTTCGCACCCACAGCATGGACGACGGCGGTGGGATCTTTCTCTGAGCATCGTGACTCTCGCCGTCGCTAGAACCACTGTACATGGCGCCACCACACAAATCCGCCTGCAATGCCGCGTTGCTCGACTCAAGAGTTTCAATTACCGTTTCCAATCAGTTGGCCAAAACCCTAGAATTTGTTTGGCAGCTCCCTAAAAAACAATGCGATCTCGCATATTTCACTTCGAAAGATATCTATGCTAAGCTTTAAGTGGAGAAAATGTTCTTTATTAGTTTGCAACAAAAAATGCGATTTATGGTCGTGGGAGGGATTTCTTTTCCCAGTTCGATGACCTTTTTTACTTATTACCCCATTGTCAAATCGGTTTAACCCGTTAAACCGATCTCACAAATATTATGTTCCGAGCGGAGTACAATTGTTTTATGTCAATTTTAACAAAACATATGAGCAAAGTGAAAATTCATGACTAAATGAATATATATATTCTCTATAATCTACATCCATATTTAAATAAAATATCATATTACAAACAAAATTATATATATCATATTTATATGCAACATTTAACATTTATATAATATCCACACATTTATACTTAATAAATCTAACAAATAACATCAACGTCTAAATATTCATACTGTTTTGATACTCGTTTTATTCCAACAAATCAAGGAAGCCAAAACATAACAATTACAACCGTGTAGCTATTATGTCACATAATAACACCTAATCCACTGGTAAAGTGTTTCTCCTAGCCTGCTCAACTAACCTAATCTGCAATTGAATTAAAATGCAGAGGCACAAACTAAACAAAAATCCACGGTGTAGATTGGATGACAGAAACCATTCGTGCAATAGTCGCACGACATTGCCAAGACCAGAGGACACATGGGAATTGGGTCTTGTGCTACGATCAATATAGCATTAGATAAACCATAGGCTTCCACTTGAATCGGGTAGGAACAAAGGAAAGTATCAGCATTGTCGTCAATACACTTCACCATTGGTATTAGGCTAGCAATGGTAATCCCATAAGCCACCACAAACGAATTTTGGACAAATGAACCGTCACAATTCATCACTCGAGAAATCGAGAAAGGCGGCGGTGAAGGGTTAGAACGGGAACCCCTGGGCGGAGAACGAGACCGTATCGCTTGTTGAATGTAAGGAGCTGTCATTGTGGTTAGAGCTTCCTCAATTTCCATGAAGTCTCGACCCGATGGAATACATGGCTAACTCGTATTGAGTTTATCTTCGAAGGTAAATGTCCATACTTTAATTCAACAAATTCCTTTCTTTTGTTAATTAATTTCACCAAAACGACATCATTTTTTTTAGGGATCAAAATTTATCATTGTGGTCGAAGCACTCGATTTCTCGGTTTTGACAATTTTTGTATCATTTTTACTACCTCTCCATATCGATGGTCTTCGTGTCGATTTTTTTCCAATACTTGTTAAACACGATTGTACTGGCAGACATAGAGGTAGTATTACAACCATATTTATAACCATCATACCTCTCTTTCTTGTCAAAACAAACCCCATTACTACTTATTGTTTTTTGTTGTTTTTTTTTTAATGGTTAGCGACGTTAAAAACTGGAAATTTCATTTAAGCCTCCATCAAACTCCAATTCCTAGTAGGGGTGAGTACAGAGTAGTAACTAGTAATTTGTTTTATGCATATTTGGGTGTATTAAAGCCTCCATCAGAGAGCGCCAATCAATGACTTTGAGATCTTGTATGAGAACGAGTCCAAGACTTGGCACGTAACTGAGTCCTAGTTGCAACGCTTTCTTCATCGGATGAAGAAATGACAGGCCAATCTCAGTTCAACTCCCTCCTCTGAAAAAAGTTGAATTGCTGCTGGTAAATGGTTTTTTGGCAATGGAGTTTAACGGTAACCCACAGTGATCAATTACTTCTTGCATCTTTGCTCCCACGTTATTGATTACATGGATTGGTCGTTTAGAAACCAAACGTTGTACTCTGACATTACACACATTCTTACAGTTTCCATCTACAAAAATACATGGGTTTCTCCACAACACATGGATTTATACCAAACATTATCTTTCCACAAAAACAGATACATGGATTCTGAAAGGAGATTCAAAGAAGGAGACCCAGTGATTGTGGGAGAGAGGTTGGTTTGTTCAGGCTTTACCCGTCCAAGTATTCCATCTTTGTTATGCCAGAAACTCCGGTTTTGTTGCAGAAAGTATGGTGAAAATCCTATTAATAAAAACAGTTAACTCATAATTCCTGTTATCTTATTTCATCATGCTCAGTTTTGATCAGCCACCCAAGCTTCACATACGATAATACAACTGCCAGAACAAAAGGCGATGTAGCCCAAGTTAATACAGGGACGATACATTCGGAATGGATCTGATCCAAACTAAATTACCGATGGGCCGTAAATTGGGTCACAATATTTGGGCCGAACTGTCCAATATCAGGCTATTATGGATATGTTGTGCGGTGATGGCAAACAGGGCCCAGGTTAGGCATACATTGTCCAGCCCGCCACAGTTGTGGAGGTTCTCTTCTGTGGGATGTCAAGCTGGTGATAGATGAATGAGTGTCTCGACTTTTAGGTGATGGATGCACGAGGAGAAGCGATTCTTGAAGAAATATGAAATCTCTTGTAATATATTGTGCTTTCAATTCGTAGTTTGCGCTTATAATAAGACTGTGTATCATAAATCTTAGGGTAAATACAATTTAATATCCAAACCTTTCATTTTAAACAATATAATAGCCAAATCTTTTTGAAAACAATCTAATATCCAAATCGTCAACTTTCCGTTCGTTTGACCGTTAGTTGGCACTTCAAAAAAACTTTGTTTAGGGGAAATTGTCACAATACAACTTTGTTTCTTGTTTTGGCATTGCAGATGACTGAATATTTAGATGTTCTATACCATCATGGTGGAGTCATGGACTTCTCGGGTTTGGAACTACGATATGTTGGTGGTTTTTCAGAGAAGATATCGATGGATATTGATGAAGGGTCGTACTTCGAACTTTTTTGAAGTGTCAACTAACGGTCAAACAGACAGAAAGTTGACGATTTGGATATTAGATTATTTTCGAAAAGGTTTGGCTATTATATTGTTTAAAATAAAAGGTTTGGATATTAAATTGTATTTATCCTAAGTCTTATGTGTTAAACGTATTTGACTATCTGTAGTTATATTTCCCAAGTTACAACAGATGTCATATATTTTTGGGTTATAGTTAAAATATGTCATTCTACTATGACGATTTATCAAACATGCCCCTCGATTATTTTTTACGTTTAACATGCCTCTGTACTTTGAAAAAATTATCAAACATGCCCTTCTATTAAAATTTCCATCCAAAATTTGTTAACAAAGGCCGAACTTTGGTTTGGTGACACAAATGTCTAAAATATCCCTAATAATTTCACTTTAGAATTTTTTTGGTTCTTTTGTATAGCCAAATAATTAAAATAATTTCACTTTGAAGAGACCCAGAGAAATAAAACGGGAGAGAAAACTGACATTTTCGCTCCCATTTGCAGATGTCGGGTTGTTTAAATCTCGGTTCAATCATGATTGACGATTTTTTTCAATGGAAAGTTTAACAGAAGGGCATGTTTGATAATTTTTTCAAAGTACAGGGGCATGTTTGATGTAAAAAATAGTGGAGGGGCATGTTTGATAAAACGTCATAATAGAGGGGCTTTTTTTTTTTACAGAGACATGTTAGTCTGTTACAAGGTGCTACTAGAGGGCTAGGGGGAAGGGGGAAACGAGCGTCGTCCTTGGGATTCGAAACTGGGGGCTCCAGGCTGAAAACCAGCGATACGACCATTCTACCACGGCCTCGCTCGCTTGAGCCGCGCGGGGTATCAGTTGCCACTACGTAGAACAACAGAGTTTAGATTATTTTGTAGTTAACTCGTATCTGATTTCTTAACGCATCCTCTATTAAGTGAGACCACTGTTCCGTCCGAACAATTTAATCCACGCCCTTCTATGATATAATTGACTTTTTTTTTATTAATGTAGCTACATTTCACGAGTCACAACAAACAGACGTCGTATATTTCCTCATTGTGATAGATCTGCATGACAAAAAAAAAAACTTCATCTGATCTCAACGTTAATTACAAATCAGGAACCACCACTAGCTAGATATATACAATACAGTTTCCCTCTAAACCTGCTCGACTATATGCGCTCCCAATTTGTTTCAAACCGGGATATCAGTTTGCCACATACAGTGGTTTAGAACAACAGGGGGTTTAGATCATTTCGTTGTCAGACTCGTATCTGAATTCTTAACGGATCTTCCATTCAAGCGAGAACATTGTTTGTTCCAAACAATTTCATGTATATTGTCCTAATTAGTGCTTCAAGTCTAGTTTTTATAACGTGATATACATATGCATACAATGAAACCGACACAAATCATACAAGTATCCAGTCACCCCACCCCGTCCAACTAGCAAACCTAGGTAGGACAGTTCACGTCCCAACTAATCAAAAAAAGCTTGAAAAGAATTCTTTGATCTCAATTCTCATGAGTCCTATCTAAAGGTCGTGCGTCCTACAACGGGGACAAAGGACGACCCCTAATTTACATCCATCACACTATACATTAATTACTACTGCCCTTATTCTTTCTTCACTGAAGCTGAATCTTTGACTCTTGCTGCCACACAGATTCGCTTTCACTGTTCATCCATAAAACTTCCCCCCTTCTATTCTCTGTGTTCCACTGTTCCTCCTCCCTTCCCTATTGGATCCATCATTTAATTCCAGAGAGAAAAACAAATCGTGACCGTACATCTGACCTCGTACACACTCTTCCTCGTGATCAACGCTGCAGCAGCAGCAAGCAGCAGTTGGTCCGGATCCCGTACAGCAGCAACCATCCCAAAAAGATTGCGCCCATCTTTAAGTGCGTAGTTTGCCGTTTGCTCTGCGATGGAAGGTTTCGTGGGCTTTCTCATTGGCTGGCTTTCCCGACGTGGCAACAGTGGCCGTATACACTGTGGTACTGTAGTCGCGGCTATGGGTTACGAGTTTAGACTCGGCAGCTGGGGGATTGTGTATTTGTGTAGGTTGCGTGTCCGCTGTCCATTGGTTTAACTCCAAAAAATCCGACCCAAAAAAAATATTCTCTGTACCCTGCAGCAAAGATCTTAAGAAGAAAGAAGAAGGAAAGAGTTTTGTACTACTGTAGTACTGGTGAGTTAAAGAATGATTACCATGTTACTTGTATATATATGTCTTCCATTTGGGTTTCAAATGTACGGAATGATCTCTTACAGGCTCGTCAGAAAAACTGATGTAGAGAATCTAAGCTCGAACTAAATG